CTCGTGACCTTAAACAGTTAAAACCAAGAATTCATCAACCACTTCCTTTCTCCCAAGAGACCTGCTCTTGTTCTAGAACCAAGTCTAACGAGCAGCTGGGGTTTGTGTCCTGCGTCTGCCATCATCTGAACTTTGATTTTACATCTTCACCGTTGGCTTCCTCGCCTCTGAGATACTCGCTCCAGGGTTAGAAAGGCCCTGCTCCCTGCTTTGTTTACAGCAGATGCTGGAGACACAGAGCCAAGGAAAAAGCTATGATCACTTATCGGCACTGCCTCCCATCAGCGCCTCAAGTGGAGGCCACGTGACCGCGGCGGGGCCCCCCTGTCTTAAAGGCACAAGTCCTCGGCTCGTTTTCTTCAGATCCTTTGTGTTGAACAGTGTGGTCCCTTCTCACAGAAGCCACAGGCCGTGAGAAGCCGGTGACCAGGGGTTCGCATCACTAGAAGGCTCTCAGCCAGGCGGCGGCCACAGGGCTGACCCAGCTTCAATGACCACACAAGGGGCTGGGGAGTGTGCGCGGGGCCGTGGTGACAATGTCCTCTAACTGATCGCATGACTCTGCAAATGTACTGAAAACCCTCGGACGGCTCGTCCCAGCGGGGACCTGACGGCACGTGGGTGAGGGGGTGACGTCTCAGCGGAAGTGCGGTGCTTGGGTCTGCCCAGAGCCTGCTGGGCTACCAGAGAGGTGACAGGTGGCCCTCTGCGGGGTGGAGGCTGGAGAGGGACGGCTCCACGCAGAGCTCAGATGTGTCCACACCCCACACCTGGTCTCTCCTCCAGACCACGTGAGCAGCGTGCCCCCCTGGGCTGACCCCGACGCCGTCACTGAGGGGCTCGGGCCAGGGACACTGAAGTGCTTCTGGGCATCAGTCTCTCTCCACAGCCCCCTCGAACCCGTCGGCAAACCCTCGCTGCACTTCGCCACGGTCAGCTCCCCCCTCCCCCGTCCCCCCTCCCCCGAGACGGGCGCTGTGGCGGCCGCTCGCCGCTCTCACTGGGCTCGGCCCTGCCCGCCAAAGTCCATTCTCACCAGGACGCCCCTTGTCAGAGCACCGCTGGGAGCAATGTGAGTGGAGCCGGAGCGGCGAGGTCTGGGAGGGGAGCCCCGTACCCCGACATCACCGAATGACACAGCAAAGCCCCACAGGTGCTGCCTGCCGGGCCCAGGCCACAGAGCCGCTGGAGACTAGGTGGTCAGCTGGGGGCGCTGACCTCCACGCTGGCCGCCTGCAGAGCCACAGCGAAAGGCTGGCTTTCTGGGCACCAAGGGCCGGCTCACCGTGGCATTCTGTACTTTCCTAAGGACACTTTTTTTTTTATCCTCACCCAAGGACATTTTTGCATTTATCTTCAGATACAGCGGGAGGGAGGGAAGGAGAAAGAGAGAGAAACATCGATGTGAGAGAGACACATCAACTGGTCTCCACCCACACGACCCCAACCGGTCCAGGGACAAACTGCAACCGAGGTACATGCCCTTAGTGGGAAGCGAACCTGGGTCTCTCTGGTCTGTGGGCCTACATTCTAATTGCTGAGCCAAACCGGCCAGGGTGGGACACACCCTGCCCTTGATTGGACTTCACCTGCACACCCTTTCACAGTCCCCAGCCTGGACTCTGCGGTGGGCACGCTCACCATTCTGAGATCTTTCTCAGGAGCAGCTGGACTCTTCGAGACTCAACCCGAGCGCCAATCCCACTCAAACTGGCAAAAAAAAAGAAAAAAAATGACAAAGTAAAGTTGTGCTTCATGGTCAGGCATGGACTTCAGGAACAGCTGGATCCAGGGGACCAGGCTTTGGTCTCTGTCTCTCTCCAAGCTTTGTTTTGCTGACTTCTGTTCTGACTTCCTTCCAGGCTCCAGGGGACCCTCTCCATGTCCAGGGCTGCTGTCCACGCACGGACTTGGATCCTGTGCTTGCTGAGGCCTGGAAGAGGGGATTCCTCAAGCCGAAATGAGGATGGTCTGAAGGCAGCCCCTCATCTTCTGAGGGAGGAGGGGGTGGGAAGGAAGGGGGTGAGCACAGCCACAGCTCCAGCCCTGCCCTGTGGCCTATGTGGGCATCTGAGAGGTCACCAGGCTCCCGTGTTGGAGCAGCCCCTCCCAGGGTGGGCCCGGGATTCATATTTGAAGCAAAATAATCACCTAATCAAGCTGGTTTGGCTGTTATTTCTCCTGAAAGCAGAAAGCTCTTCGGAAACACACACACACACACACACATATTTAAACCATTGCTTAATAAGGAGGGCAGTTTTTTGTTGTTGTTGAATAATACTAAGTAACAACAGATTTTAATGTTGGCTGTTTAATATCCTGACTAAGTTCCATTACTCAAGAAGCTAAGAGAAATATTGTTTAAGATCTTACTGGGCTATGATGTTTCTCAGCACACTGGACTTCCAACGTGCCTTGGCATTTGATTCGCTTTTTTATTTTATGAGGCACCAGCTTTTCAGCAAGCGTCCTGAAGAGAGAGTTTCTTGCCGGGGAAAAGCTGGGGAAGACAGCGACAGACACTTTAGAGGCAGCGTGGGGTCCCTGCGGGAAAGGCAGGGCCAGCTTCCTTCATGCGCCCCGAGCACCCCGCGGAATCAGGTGGGACTTCGGAAGTGAGCCCTGGAAAGGATGCCGGGGGTCTCGGATCCCAGTGCCCTCCATCTGCACTTTGTGAGTGCCGGCTATTCCTGTGTGTCACTTTACAACTACTAAGTGTTGTCTACCAAGTCCCTTCACGGGGGGAAACACACCCTACCCACTCCCCACTCTAGTTCTGTTAATAAACGAACTCCAGATTAATCAAAAGTCTGATAGAGTTAACTAACAGGTCACAAAATTAAGTGTTATCCCATTCAAGTCCTTCCCTGCAATAATGAACATTCTGGGGTTCTTTCCTGACAGTTTTGTCAAATAAAAATGACTAAATATTGAAACATAATTCTCCCCCACATCATTGCCCCGGAGTTGCTTCGCTGTTGTAAGATTTCACACACACGCACACAAAGACGATGGCAGTCTCTAGAATACGTTGTTGTGGAATATTTTTGAGGGTGACAATGTAACCATCAGTTTTCTCTAGTCTTCGCGCGTTTGGGGACATCCTGGGGCAGGGGCGCCCCCTAGGAACTCCAGCGCAACACCTTCCTTTTCTCCCACAGCAAGGTCCAGGGTGGGAGCTAAGAAGGACCCAGGGAAAGGACGTAGACATTCTGAGTAGTTCCCTGTTCACTTCTCAGATGACCACCCCGGGAAAAGGGGCTACACTGACCAGCGCCAGCGGGCCCCGTGTCTCACCCGGTACTGAACAGAAGTGGACCTGGACCTCGGGAATTTTTCCAGACGGATCCTGGCTCTGATTTCAGAGTCCAGTCTCTGCAGTTATTTCAGGAATAAATGTGGCCCTGGAGGGTTTCTTATTTCCTTTAATTTCCCAATGAAATCCTAGACTCTGTTCTTGGCTGTCAAAGCAGGTAACACCCAGCTAGAGGAGGGTACAGGCAGAGGGGCAGCCAGGACGGTTACGGCCGGACCCCCGTGAACAGCGGTCAGCGCTGGGGGCCCCGGGAAAGGGGAGGGGGCTGCGCTCTGCCTTCGCTCTCTTCCCCTTTGGGGAGCCCCCACTGTTACTGTCTCTGTGCACTGTGTATTTGTTTGCTGGGAGAACGAGGGTCTTCCCTTTCTAAAAGGGGTTTGCGCACGTCCTCCCAGAGACAGGGTCCCGAGGAAGAACTCGGCACCGCGGCTGCTCGCGGGCTCGCGGAGCGGACCAGGGCAACAGGCGCGTCCTGGTTTGCGGTTTCCTCCGACGCCCACGCACCGCCCTGGGCAGTGTCCGGTGTCGGCAGCGCGCAGGGAAGTCGGTTCCCCTGTGGTCTCGCGGGTTCCCAGGGCTGATCCACGCGCTCTTGGTAAGAGCCTTGGAAAGCGTAACTTCCGATTTGATCCTGGACCACGAGCGTCCTCTGTCGATCGCCTGCGGAAGGGCGTGCAGACAGCACTGAAGGAAGGACCCGCACGAAGCAGGCGGACGCGATTCACCCCATCTCCCGGGGGAAGGGCGCCCTGACTTGCACCCCAGCGCAGCGTCGGCTGCGCCGAATAGGAGAACGCGGAAGTGGCCGGGGAGACGCTGGTGAAAGTCACCATTTCAAGCGCCACTTGGTTATTAATGACGTTTCGGCAGTGCCCGCGTTACTGTTTTCATTACTCTCTTGTGGATGGAAGCCCCGTGGAACTATCGTGGGGGAAAATACCTGAAACAGGTCGCATTCTTGACAAGCCCGGCTTAGGACCCGTCCACGCTGGCCCACTTTGCCCACTGGGGACCCGCGGGGAGAGAGCAAATGTGAGCCCTCACCGCTTGGAGAAGTGACCCTGGGAAGGGCCCAGGCCACCTGCAGGCGCGCATCTGTGGGGCCAGATGTGGGGGATACGAGTGGCCCAGCGGGTGCAAATAAGACCCCGAGTGTTCGGCTCTCCGAGACCCAACGAGGGTCGGTATGCTCGTTCAGCTGTGTCCCGCGAACGCCCCGACCCTACGACTTGAATTTTGAAAAGCATTGCAAAGTACAGACGGTGTGGGGCGGTTTCCCCGACACAGGTCCGCCACGGGCGACCTCACCCGGGACGCAGACCGGGAAGAGCTGCGGCGTTGGCCCGCGGCGGGCGGGGACGCTGGGGCGGCCGGAGGCACCAGGGTTGGTGAGTGATGGGAGCGCCGGGGGTTGGGGACCGCGTGGTAGCGGGGCACCGGGCGCACACGTGGGGAGCAGGTGCTCTGGCGGCCGCGCGCTGCGCACCCCGGTGCTCCGCGGGCTGCCCGGGGCGATATACGGGACCCCGGAGCCTTGTCTGCGCCTGCCTGCCCCCGTTCCCCCACCCCCACCCCCCACCCCCACCCCCGGCGCGCCGTTCCGGGGCGTGTCCTCGGCCGCTTCAGCTTCTATATAGCGGCCGGCGTGCCCCAGCAGCCCAGATGCAAGCCTGGCGGTGCTGCGCTGAAGTCTGACCGCTGCCCGCTTCGCTCCCGCAGCCTCCCGCCGCAGCTATCACCCCGTCCCGTGCGCCCCGGCCGGCTGAGCAGAGGACACCCGCAGTGGGCGCCATGCAGCGGACGTGCCCCTTGCTCTCGGCAGCGACGCTGATCGCGCTGGCCCTGCTCCAAGGACCGCCCGCGGCGCAAGCAGGTGTCGGCTCGGCGGGCGCTGGGCCGGTGGTGCGCTGCGAACCTTGCGACGCGCGCTCTCTGGCCCAGTGTGCGCCCCCGCCCGCCACGTGTGCCGAGGTGGTGCGCGAGCCGGGCTGCGGCTGCTGCCTGACGTGCGCCCTGGGCGCAGGCCAGCCGTGCGGCGTGTACACCGAGCGCTGCGGCGCGGGTCTCCGCTGCCACCCGCAGCCTGGCGAGCCGCGTCCGCTGCAGGCACTGCTGGAGGGCCGCGGGCTCTGCTCCAACACCAGCGCCGCAGGCCGCCTGCGCACCCACCTGCTGCCCGCGGCGGCCGCTGCCAGTACGCCGCCCACGCCAGGTGAGCTGCCGGGCCAGGTGCGTCCCACAGCGCGCAGGGGCGGCGCCCTCGCCGAGAGTCCGGACGGGTGGTGCAGCTCCGAGTCGTCCTGCTCTGAGTCGTACAAGGAGAGACAGGCGCTCGCGGGAGGGACACTCCACAGCGCTCCGTTTTCTGAGTGCAGAGTGCTTGTACATTGCAAAGCGCTTTTAGCGAAAAATGGGTCAGAGATTGTGTGGGGAGGGAGGGAGCAGATACCGAGCTCGGGGGTTCCTGGGGAGATCCTGGGCGGAGAAGGCTCCGGGCCCTGTGAGCCCGCGGCAGCGCGGGGACATGGACGCGGTTTCGGTTCCCGTGGACTCGGAGCGTGTCCTCCCCGCGGGGCAGGGGCGGAGGGAGACGGCGGGGGCAGATTTGGGCGCGAAGGGTGGGCAGGCGCATTGCAGGAAATGGTACCTGTTTCCTAACAGCATTTGCACTGACCTACGGTTTGCAAAGCGGTGTCACCCCCGGGGTGTCCCACAACCAGCCATGTGGGAACCGGGCAATCGCGTCTTTCGCGGTTGGACAACCTAACCTTCGGAAAGAAGCTGTCCAAGGTCCCCCAGAGGCAGGGAGGGCGGGAGGGGGTGCTGAGCTCCGATCGCTACCATCCGAATCCTCCCCCTGGGGCCCCCTCCCCCCGCCCCCTGCTTGTGTGGCCCTCAGACAACGCCAGGAGCTGGGGCTGCGGGCAGTGTGGACCCGCGGACCCCAGTGACAGGAGGGGGCTGGGTTAAGCCCCAAGGCTACTTGCTGCCTTAGTCTGAAGTGGAAGGAACGCGTCCATTTCAGGGAACCAGAGGAGGAGTCTGCCCGCCCTGGGGGAAGCGCCTCTCTCCCTCCCTTAGATTAGACGTTAAATGGAGCTGGCATCTGATTTTCCAAGTCTCAGCAGGCTCAGCCAGCCTCACTTAGCGAGGCGAGTGGAGTCCCCACACATGTCGCTGGGAGGACTGGGCGGAGCGCGAGGCCAGCGCAGCTGGGGCGGGGGAGGGGAGTCCCGGCACCGTTCAGGTGGCTGCGGTTCCCACCTGGGTGAGGTGCGTCCTTGCTGGGCAGGGCTGGCTCTGTTTCTCCCGGAGAACCTGCTTCCAGGATTGGTCAAAAGACACAATTCCACTTGCCTGAGACATCACTGTTTCATACCAGTGAGACTGTTAAAATCCCTGAAAGCATTTGTCCCCCGGGGCAAAGTCATGCCGTTGTCTGTGCGCACAGCATTGCCCGCAGGGCCTTGGACACCAGAACAGTGATCTGAGAAGTCCTTATAAAGAGGGTCGTCTCTAGTGGGCATGGTAATTACTCCTGAGAGTGGATGTGGTTTATTGCACAAGTGTAGAGAGATACAAGTAACTTCTAAAACCCATGTGGGGGACATAAATTTACGTGACAATTAAAATTATCTGCTGCTTAAAAGGACCAGTGTCCTCTTCACACCGAAGTCTTCAGGCATTAGAGAGAAACCGAGGAAGTTTGAGAAATTACTCAGAGTTCTAGGAAAAGAAATGCAAATGTGCATATGTACGTCATCTTGACTCCTCGGCCCCAGTACTTCCCTGAAGAAGAAAAAAGACACGAAGATGAAAGGAAATGAAACCAAATCCTACCAGTGAGGAGCCTACTCCACGGGCACAGGGCAGGACAATTGTGCCTCCCCAGCACCAGGCGCCTTGGGAACCCTGCAAAGCCTCCCCCTCTTGGGGCCATTTACTGGGTGGGGACACAGAGACCCAGAGAGCAGGGACGTCCCCGGGTCCTCGGGTCCCCGTGAGCGTACCCAGTGCTGGGCGCTGCCAGAGGACCCTGGAGCTGTGCGGCTGGAACACACTGTCTTCCTGCCCTGCTCAGCCCTGCGGAAACATTCCCTGTGCTGCTCCCGGGAGCCCAGCGCCGGAGGCCATGGCAGGCTTCTGGCCCTGGCGGGCAGCCACAGTGATGGGCGTGTCCCTGGGAGGAGGAGAACAGTTCAGCTGGGCGGGGCTCTGGCCACCCCAGGCCGAGCAGACTCAAGACCCGGCCTGGGGGTGCTGTGTAGAGTGAAGTGACCATATGGTTGCTTCCTGAGTGGGCAGACCAGGCAGAGACGGGGCGCACCCACTGCCCCCTGCCCCTCAGCTGCGCCCCGTTCATCCTGGGCAAGGAAAGTGGGGGTCCTGGCTCCACATCAGCCACACAGGCACTCAGTATAGTTGAAACCCCACCCCCAGGACGAGCCAAGATGCTGTCATGTCAGGTTTTCTTCCTTTACCGCGTTGACAACGAGAGGGACCTGCAGGGGGTGGCACTCGGAGCGTGGGCCTGATGCAGCTGTCCTGCCACCCACGCCCCCCGGGTGTCCAGGCGCCGCATGTCAGTGAGGGAGACACGGGACACCGGGGCCTTGAACACTGGCCAGCGCGCCCCGGAGCTCAGACGTGCAGCGGAGCACCCCGTGGGGCGGATTCACTCGGAGGCGCTCTGGCCGGCGCTGGAGTCAGAATTCCCGCGGGGCTGCCTCACCCCGCTCTTCCGACCCAGCAGGGGGAGAATGTGCTCGTCCCGGCTCAGCTCTGCCCCCTCCTGGTGGAGGCGGGGACGCCCTGAGCTTCATGGGCACCTCCTTGGTCCAATCTCAGCTGAGATTTCATTTTAAAAGGTGCTTCGCAGGCACAGCGGTCACTACCGGGGCCCCTGCTGGGAGGGGGATACTGTCCGAGGTGTCTTCGTGAACGTACTTGGGATGGTTGAATAATGTCCCACTGAGATGTGAGTCGGCGCCCTCATTGGATCGGCCCGTGTCTTTCCAGGAAACGACAGTGAGTCTGAGGAAGACCACAGTGCAGCGGCCTCGAGGAGCCCTGTGCTGTCCGTCACACACCGGGCCCCCGACTTCCACCCTGGCCACACCAAGATAGACGTAATCAAGAAGGGGCTCACCAGAGACAGCCAGCGCCACAAAGTGGACTATGAGACCCAGAGCACAGTCACGCAGAACTTCTCCTCCGAGTCCCAGCAGGACACCGAAACCGAATACGTGAGCGTTGCCTGTTCTCCTTGGGCGGGTGGGCCTGGGTCACTCTTCACTCGTAGCCTGTGGGTACACCCACCCCGCCTGCAGGGGCAGCGGCCAGCCCTCCTGACGCACAGGCCAGTGTGACCCTTCCCAGGGGAGATCCTCAGGGTCTGGGCTAAATGCCGTCGGTGAGAGTGTGCGGTGTGTGTGCTCACCCACCTCTGCGCTCAAGAGAAATGTTACGTGAACTGGCTTCGTTCTGTTCACCTAGCCTCTGTCCTGGGTTCCGGTGACTCTGCCCCAGGCTCAGAGCCTTGTCTGGGACACTCGAGAGAGGGGCCGTGGTCGGTGTCTCCCTGGGAGCGGTGAGGACTGAGTCAGGACGCAGATACTTGAAGGCACCTCGCAGGTTTCCCGGGAGGGCTTGGGGCAGACAGGACTTTATGAGGCAGCTGAGCTCCCAGTGACTGTGCCCCACCCCCACCCCCACCCCAGGGGCCCTGCCGCCGGGAGATAGAGGAGACTCTGAACCACCTCAAGTCCCTGAACACGGTGAGCCCCAGGGCCATTCACATCCCCAACTGCGACAAGAGGGGCTTCTACAAGAAGAGGCAGGTGAGTGTGTCTCCAGGAGCCCCTCCCTCCCAGCCCCTCACGTGGAGGGGACCCCCCCCCAGTCCTGACTGCAGCCCTGGCCCTCCCTCCTGCCGCAGCAGTGCCATGTTCCCCTTTATCAACCATGAGGGACACAGGCCAGCACCTTCCTGAGCACCCATCCTGGAGGGACGCTAACTGCAGAGAGTGACTGCGGCCCTCACCCCAGGCCCTCCCCGGAGTGACCAGCTGCAAGGGTCACACATTGGAGAGGAGGGTCATTTAAGCCACAGTAAGTGGCTTCCACAGATCACGACAGAATTAACCACGGAGCAGCGTGTCGTCAGGGGGGCCTCCATCTGAGACCCGTCCTCCCCAGGGGCCATTGGTCCCCTGGCCCCCTTATCACACCTGCTTTCTCTCTGTCACTATTCAGCACTCACTCTGAGAGCCCAGCGTGTCTGCGGCCTGGGATGCTCTCTGAAAGGCAGAGGTGATGAGCACAGGGCACAGGGACATTGTCATCCCCTCCTGCAGCAGCAGACCTGCAGGGCCAGCGGGCCAGGCTACCCAGGACGGGGACACAGCAGCGCCCCGCCCCCGCAGACAGGCAGCGCGCCGAGCGCGCAGGGGCCTGGGGGCCGTGCTTTCCGAGCCGGCTGCCCGGGGATCCCTCCTGGACCCTGACAGCCTGCTCCGCGCTGGGCCCCGGCACCTTTGCCAGCTCTGGGCCCACGGTGAGAGCCTCCCGGGGTTCACACCTGCCTCCTCTGCTCCGTCCACAGTGCCGTCTGTCCAAAGGCAGGAGTCGCGGCTTCTGCTGGTGCGTGGACAAGTACGGGCAGCCCCTCCCAGGCTTCTACCCGAAGGGCAAAGGGTACGTGCAGTGTGACAGCGACGAGGAGAGCAAGTGACTGGCCAGGTGAGCCCGGGGCAGTGGCTCTCGCGGGAAGGGGCGGGGCTTGGGGCGGGGCTGCAGACCAGGACGGGCGGGACTGACCTCTGAGGAGGCCAGGGAGGCCCCGACCTAATGAGAGGGCGGAGGGGCTGCAGCCCGCGGGCTGCTCTCCGGGAACCCAGGGCAGGTGCACCTTGGTTCACACTCAGCGGAGGGTTCAGAGTCGAGCTCTGCCCTGTTCACCTTCACAGGCAAACCCTTTAAATCCGGAGAACCTGTTTCTAAATTAAAGACATGTCTAAGTTTCTGTCCCGTAAAACACACTATGGATACTCAGATCATCTGTGCTTAAGAGAATCTTAATAAACTGTATTTAAATCTAATACAAACAATGAAATTTTAAACCATCGTTTTGAAGAATGCTCTCCTATTTAATATTCTCTTTTAATAAATGAGAAGGTTTCGGGGAGGGGGAGGAGAATAAGTACATTTCCTTCCATTTCCTCAAACCAAATTTAAGGAAACAGAAGGAAATTTCATTTTTAGTTATGTTTTCTTTCTTCGAGGTGGAAACAGTAATTCTAATTTTAGGGGGTGACTGTGGAAAGGTGGGGCCAGCATCTTACAGGCTCCTTCCTTTGTGACAAGGGTGGGCCTGGTGTCCGTCTGAGGACCCTGGGGCGCAGTGGGCCCCTCTGATGTCGGGGGTCGTCCCAACATCCCTTTTCTGCCTGTTCCAGTTCCGAGGGCACCAGCACGCCAGTTCCGCACAGACGACGGCCAAGGACCTGCTCAGCACCTGGCTGCAGCCTCTTTGTATTTCTTTGCGTGGCGAATCAATTTCTTTTTTCGATCGAAGTTTAGAAAGAGATTTTGAGATGCCTGGGATTCTAAGCGGGGACTTGAGGGGCTTTTCCACTTTCCAGTACCAGGGAAACCGAGCGATTTTTCTTGTTGCTTTTTCTGAACCTGCTTGTAAACCCAACCACACACCATGGCCTCCTGCGGTCCGGACCCCGTGGGCGGCGTGGCTGACCCTGACTTCACCCCTCGGCACCCCCGCTGCTGAGCGGACGCGCACTGTCCCCTTGCGACTGGAGCACGGGGCTCTGAGAACGGCGGCCCCACAGGTACCCCCCCGCCAAGGCCTGCGTCCCTCCACCCGGAAGGGAGTTCCTGTCTTCAGGTGACCGGTTCTGCGTGGGAAGGAGTGGAGACGATGACGTGGAGTCTTACTTACGTTTATAAAATGACCAGGAACACGCTCAGGAGCCCTGAGCAGATTCCTAAGGACACAGCCTTTGCTGGTGGCCCCACGGGGCAGGGGATGGGGGGCCAGCACCACACCTGGGTTTCAGGGGCATCCCCCAGATGCTTCCGGTGATGGCAGAAAAGGGTGCTTCCCACCCACAAATGCAAGACCAAGGTCACCTTTGAGGCTAAGTTCCTTAGACGCAATGGAAGGCTGTGCTCGTGCCTCTCTCTGCCGAGCACAGTGTAACGAGCACAGTGTCTAAGCAGAGACAGGAGGCCCCGGAGCTCAGACTCGCCCGCTCTCTCTCCTGACTCACACGTACTTGCAGAGAAATGTCTTCATGAAGTGTCTCCCTTGTATGCATCGCAGTCCAGATATGCTAGGACCTGTACTTGATCATCTTAGGTGAAACGTCAGCCACGTTAGAAGGAAGCGCCGGTGCGGTGTGGCCGCGGGGCCACAGCGGGAGGAAGACCTGTGGCCGCTCACCATCCTCCTCCACAGAGGGGTCTCCAGACCTTCTGCCTACCTATTAGCTTTCCTTTATTTTTTTAATCAAGTTTTTAGAAAAAGGTATTTTTGAAGAATTTGTCTCGCCATGTATTTATACTTGGTTAATAAAGTTCCTACCATGAAGAAACCCTGCCCCGTGTCAGTGGCTGGCTCAGGTTTGGAGAGTCTGGTTGGCACCTCGCACGCAGGGACCTCGGGCGGTGCCTCCGCCGGGCTCCTTCCTGGCTGTCGGCCTCAGTCCGGCCCGGGGAGGACAGGCCGGGGCAGACCAGCAGGTGCGTCTCCGAAGCCCTCATTGAGTCAGGTGTTGTCCCCATTGTCCTGCCCGTCACCACCCACGCAGGCACCAGGGGCACAAAGCACGGTGTCCTTTCCCCACCGTCTCTGCTTGGAGAAGGGACGAGACAGGAGGAGGGAGACCCCAGGAGGCGCTGGGTGGGACTCTAACCCTTCGACTGTGGCACCAAAGGACACACTTTGCTTCACGGAATCAGGTGTGGAGAGTCATCCCCGAACCCTTAAGAAAGCGTCCGAGTCCAGGCCTGTCCCAGCGGCGTGTGCTGAGCAATGAACACTCCGTGTTCAGAGACCTGGAGTGGGGCATCCTTGGGAGGTGACATGGGAACCAGAAAGGTGGGGTGCCTGCAAAGTCATGAGCAGGGAGAAGGCCAGAGAGGGGGGCAGGAGCCAAGAGGCCACGGGGTGTCCGGGTTGGGGCCTGGGCAGCCACCAGTGTGGGAACCCCGGGCAGGAGCTGTGAGCTGTGAGCCCCCCGGGGCCCTCCCGCCCTCCCAGGGCTCGGCTCTCACCTGTCCCAGCTGTGTGTCCCCAGGCGCTGTCCCCAGACAGGCTGCACTCAGGGGACCGAGGCCACACAGGTGTGGCACCACCTTCCAGATTTCGATAGCAAGTCCACACCCGTGAAGAATAACCATCGTGAACACAATGTGGGTGTCCTGAACCCAGCTTCTCTCGTGACAGCCTGTCCAGAGAGACTCGTGCCCCTTCAGCCAGACTCCACGCGTCCAGAAGGCTGCCTCGGGTGTGCCCAGCGAGGACGTGAGTGCCGGGCCACCATTCCTGTCTGTGATGCTGATGACACGGAACAGTCCTTGGGGGGACAAAAAGGAGCAGGGTGCGGCTGTCTTGTGTCCACCACACACACGCACCCACAGCTGGAAGGACGCTCCGTATGTTTTCCTGTGTTGTCTCTACTCCGCTGCGATGTCAGCGGCCCCTGGGCGGACCTGGACGCCGCCTGCTCCTCGTTGCCATGTTTTCTGGGGTCCGTTTGCCAGCGTTTTGTTGAGACTTTGTGCCTCTGTTCTTCGGATAGTGTGACACGGAGCACTGAGTTCACAGATCAGTACTGGGAAGTGGCAGAGGGGGGCTGGCAGCCGGGGGTCACAGGGTGAGGGGGACACCAGAGAGGGGCTGGGGGCTGCGAGAGCAGAGAGGTGACCTGGGCTGACCAGAGGCTCTGGCTCTCCCACACACACAGCCAAGGGTGGGGGGCCGGGTCAGGAAAACAAGCGGGTCACCCCATAAGGAAGAAGGGCCCCAAGGGGCACCTTGTGCTCAGGGCTCAGCGCTGCGGGCAGGCAGGGTGCCCACCCCGAGGGGCCACTTGAACACTGCAGAGGACGGAGGCTAAGGGAGGCCAGAGGAGAGGGCGAGGGAGCTCATTAAGAAGTATCTCTGTCTCGTGTGTCAGATGGGAGACACCTGGCCTGTTTGCAAGTGGACAGGAGGGGCGCACAGAGAAGTCAGGGCAGCAGGAGGGGGAGGGGCCCCAGCCCTGGGTGACAGGCACTGCGGGCGCTGGTGGTCGTGGGCGACCTCAGTGGGGCAGCCTCTCTGGCAGCAGGGAGGAGACCTGGGTGCAGAGGAGCAGGGGGCACAAACTCCAGAGCAGTAACAGTGCTTCCCATGGAATGTTTATTTGTTTACACTGTGCGTGCGTGTTGACAATGGATCCAATGCACGTGTTCCCATGGAGCAACACCACCAGGTCTCACTGTGATTACAGGATTAACCTTTAACTTTTCCTGTCAATTGACGCTGGACTCGGACCCGTGGAGCACACAGGGCGAGTCACCGAGCGGCTTGACGCAATCACGGCTACACGTCTGATTCTGCATCTTCTAGGCAGGATTTTCCTAAGCAATTTACACACAGAGCTTAAATACAGGTATCTACATACAACGTGCTGAGAGGTGCTTCGTGACATATAAATTAGTACAGCACAAGTTACCGTGTAGAAAAAATAAACTTACAGTGAATAAATAAACTATAGCTTTTATACAGCAAGTAGCAAGTGGAGTATACGGGTGGTCCCTGTGCACACGCCATAGACACGTGTGTGCGCTGGAGTATGAAGGGCACGGTGTACGCGAACATTTCACGGAAGGACCGGGCCGTGCTGCTTCTGACCTCACTGAAAATACTGTTGGCAGTCGGGGTCTCCTCTGACCTCAGACCCCGGGATCTTCCTCCCGCTCTGGGGGTACACGCACCAGCAGAGCCCCGGCTCGCCATCCAGAGACGCCTCACACTGCAGAGATGAGAAGCAAGGTCAGAGCAGCGGCAGAAGCTGGGGAAGACGAGCGCCCAGCCACCCAGCGCCACGCCGAGCGCACGCTTGGGAGCTCGGACCACGGGCGGCACCCCGCAAACCCGACACCCTCAGCCTCTCCCATCCCCCACCAAGCACGGCCTCCTCCTCAGTCTCCCCCATGACAGCCACAGAGCGTCAGCGGGTGCGAAAGGGCCCCTCGGACTGCGTCTTGCTCTGTTTGATCTCATTTGTAGTCTGGCAAGTTGAGAAGATGCCATTGTGTTTAATTATAGAGTTCCTTCCCCTTTGTGGGGGGAAGAAACAGTAAGAGATGTTCCAATAGATACTAAATTCCCTAAGCAGAGCAGTTTCCTTCTGTCCTGTGAAAGGTGACAGACGGGGTCCAGAAAGGCGGGGCCTGCGGGAGCCCCGAACCTCAGCCCGGCCAGCGGTGGTCCCGGGCCGCCCGCTCCCAGAGCCGGAGGGCCGGACCCTGCGTCACCGAGCAGTCCGGGGCGTCTGGAGCGTGGCTCTGCAGGGACGGGCCAGCTAGCAAGGGCACGCACCTGCTTGCTGTGGTACAGGCCGCTCCTGTCGCAGTTGGGCAGGTAAAACCTGTAGAGGCTGCCGCCCGCCGTCTCCTGGTCCTGGGCTAGTCTGTCCAGCACAGTGTGCAGTTCTTGCTGGCAGGGCCTCTGGAACGGACATTGGATGTTGGGATAAGTGACGAGAAGAAGTGAACCCCCAGAGGATGGAAGAGGTGTGTGGGCCCCTTCTCTGGACCTCCAGCTCTCACCGGTCGCCGGAGGGCGCCTCCCGCGCCGAACCCCTAAACACCCACGGGAGGGTCTCCCTGCTTTCTCCCTTCCCCCTGCCTCCGTGAGAACTCTGGCCCCCGCCCCCCGGGAGGACAACTTCCTCCCAATGGAGAATCCCGCCGGAGGTTCCCCGCCAGGAACTTCGGTTCTTTGTCGCCCTCAAGCGGCAGAACGAAAAGCGAACAGCACTGGCGGGCGGAGGGGCCACGGGGCAGGCCGCTTGCTGGGGAGATGGATCTGCAAGTGGACGGTGGTGGTGGCCGCAGGACACTGCGGCTGTGCTGACGCTACAGCCCTTCGTACTTTGAAATGGCAAACGTGCTCGATTTTACGTGATGTGTATTCTCGACAATGTCGGGGGGTGGGCGATGGGAGGGAGCTTTGGTGAGTCCCGTGCCCAGCTGTGGAATAGCCAACTCAGTGCCCTGCAGACAGCGTCTGGCACGACGCCCTCAGAGAGGAGCTCGGAGACACGCAGGAGGGTCTCCAAGCTGCGGAGCAGGGGCGGACTCTTCCCTCCGCCCACAGGAAAGTCCTGTCTCAGAAGCTCGGCGAAGCTGGGCTGAGGACGCCTGTGGGCTGTGGGAAGGAGCAGCCTGTGTCCGGGGCTGGGCGGCAGGGAGGGGCTGAGACACCTGTGCAGCCCAGTGGGTTCCAGCCGGCGGCGCTGCCCGGGCCTCACCTTCCAGCTATTGACGTCGGTGATCCCGGGGGTCCTGATGCTGTTGTAGTTACTGACGGTGTTCCACAGGGTGGGCGGCTCCTGGGTCATCTCCATGTGCTCTGAGGACCCGCTGGCACCTGAAAATGGACCGCCACCGCGAGTGAGCCCTCCCGAGGCGTCTGCACCCGCCCCTGAAGTCGCTCCCTTCCCCTGACAGCTTCTGGGGAGAGCGAGCCGGGTCTGGCAAGGGTGCCCCGTGTCTCTGTCTCCACAGCAGTGGGAGGGGGCACCCACCCTCCATCGGGCTGGGAAGAGCCCCGAAGGAGCCCCAGATTACCATGCGACCCGACACCCACCCCACCCCCTGCCCTCCCACCCAGCATTTCGGCGATTCCATGGGAGCTGGAGCTGGGTTAAGAGCGGGTCTACATTGCAGCTGTCCCCTCTACTTTAGGGGTGCCAGCACCCCCAGACAAGGGGGGCTCAGCAGATATCTTGCAGATGGTCTGAAGGTTCAGAATGGATGCCGGACAGACTCCCCCAGAACTGGCCCCCCTGAGGAAGCCCAGGGAAGCCCTCGCCTTTAAGGACCATGGAGAGGACCCCATTTCATTGATTCTGGGGCACAGACCAGCAGGAGAGCCCCGACCCCCCAACCCTCCCCCTCCGTGGAGAGCCAGGAGCTCAGCCGCTTCCTGCAGAACCAGCAGGTCAGGAGGGGGGAGGGGGAGGGGGCCTTTCCTCTGTTCCCCACTACAAATAAATCACTGCTGAATCCAGGAAAGAGCCACTGTCGGTCCTGAGGAGGCCACGGGCACATCAAACACTGTCCCCTGTGCCTTCACAGCAGTGGAGTGTTCAGCCTAAACGCTCACAATGTGTCCAGCACACACTGTCTCCACAGGACGCATATCACAAAGGACATTCAACTCTGGGGGTGGGGGCGGGGCTGGGTCCCCTCCCTGGCTGCCCACGCCCCACTGGGAGGAGGGCCAGGGGCCTGGGATGGGCTGTGGAGGTTTGGGGCTCTCCCCCCATCTCTCCTCCCTGCCCCTGGGCACCTCCCAAAGGGCCAGGCAATGATGGGGCCCTTACAAACTTTGGCCCCAAGCTCTGGGCCCGGGCAGATTTGCACCCCACTGACTATGGGCTTTGGCGGAGCCCCCGCCCCTGCCCCTGCCGGCCGAGGTGCGTTCATCCGTCCCAGGGGAGGAGACCAGGTGGAAGAACAGCAGTACCTGCGGCCTCGGTGCTGGGGTCAGCGGCCTGGGACTGGGGCTGGCAGGTGCCCTTGCCGCGGATGAGGGCCTGCAGGGGCTGCGGCTCCCCGGGCAGGGCGCGGCAGCTGAGTTCCCTGGCACAGCGCGCAGTAGTCATTCCGCAGGCGGCACCCAGTGGCAGGGTACACATCGGGCAGCAGCCGCAGCCGGCGGGCCGGGCGGACTCCGGGCACGAGGCAGGCACCGGCGGGCAGAGCGCAAGCTTCTCGGCGGAGCAGGGCGCGCATTGCCACAGCTGGGGAGCGCCGGCGCCTGCGAGGACCTGGCCGGCCAACAGGAGGAGCAGCCAGGCAGGGAAGGCGTTGACCGCGGGCATCGTCGTCGTGGCGACAGGGGCCGGTGCTCACTGGCTGCTCGCTGCTCGCTGAGCGGTGTCGGCAAGGTCTGGTGCTGGCAGGGTGGTGGCGGTGGCCGGTGCTCCCTGGGCAGTGGATGCTCGACGGTGCCCAGAGCACCTTATGAAGGGCGAGGGACCAGGTCACCTGTCCTCGGAGGTTAATGATTGGCAGCTACACTCTGGCGGACCGTGTTCAAAATAAGTTTGTTTTCCTCGTGTGCTCCAGGCACTGTGCCAAGCGTGGGTGGAAGGAGCGTAAACGTCCAGGTTCCGGGCGCTGTTTGTCCGTCCTGTTGTTATGGAATTCCCACCTGGAGCCAAAGCACAGGTCTCACCGGGAGTGCGTGGCCAGGTGGAGGGGGCGCTGCTTGTTTTGCTCAAGAAGAGCCGGGGCTGAGCCAAGCAAAGCCCAAGACGTCGGCTGGGCATGGCCACCATTTTCAAAAGGGGAAACCGAGGCTCGGGGAGAGGCAAGGAGGACCGCGTAGGGCCCAGGTGTCTGCTGGCCTGGCTGGTTCTCAGGAGCCGCGCTCAGAAGTGCTTGCCTTCTGCAGGAAGGAGGTCCCCAGGCTACTGAACTCATCTCCCAGTCTTTCCCAGGAGAGACAGGAAGGGACAGACGGTCCTTGCAAGGAGGGGACCCCGTCTCACGCAGCCCAGAGACCAGCCTCGTCAATGCACCTCCACGGGGCTCCAACTGGGGCCCAGGGACAGGTGGGGCGAAGGCTGCAGGATGGCACCCAGACCCTGCTGCCTCTGCCTTTCTGGCTCACACTAATGTTTATCAGGAATCAAATACCAAGGCCTTCTCTTTAGTTAAAATTCCTATTTCTTGGATGTCCTCCTGGGTTGCAAGGAAGACGGCACTGTGGCATCAAAGACGGTGAGGGATAGCCCCATCATCCCCACAAGCAGGGGGTGTTTTTGCCAGAGGCCAGTCCCTGGCACGAGGCAGAATTGACTGATCACTGAGAGAAAGACATCGAGGTGAGTCAAGTGTGCACATTACGTTCAATGTCCAAGTGAAGCGCAAATGAGGAGATAAGACGCCCAAGCTTGTGGGCAGCACAGAACATGTATGAGAGGCGGTGTCGCTGGGGGGGTCGAACCCCCGAGAAGAATGTGTGAGAAGCAGGTGTGGTGCATGGGGGTCGGGGAGGAGGAGAAAGGAGGTGCAGGTGCCGAGGGAGAGACGGGTGTCCCCTGCTCGTCTGGTCCTCCCGGGTTCTCATTGTCCAGTAAATATGTTTCCTCCGGTTGGGGCTCACACATCCATCGCAAGAACACAGTCAACACTGGTGCACTGACTCCTTTTCTGGCCCCTGCACCTGGGCCTGGGCACGTCCACAGCAGGTCACAGTCTCTCCCCAGCAACAATCAAAATAAGGTCATGAAATTGTGGCAGGAGTTCAAGGTCATGTTCGTCATTATTTTTCCAGAACCAAGTTCAGTGTGGGCTGAAGAGCAAACCAGCGCTTTCGAACAGGGCGGCAGGAGTCTTGATGTCCTTTCGATGACACCCTACCTCACGGCGTGTCCGGAGAGTATGTGCTCTGAGCTCCCCCCCCCTCCGGACTTCCTGCACGTAGAAACACTGCCCCCGGACTGTTTTCTTACCGACAAGGAGAGCGGGTCATCGGGACGTGCCCGGGGCCCCCGCCCTCCCTCCCCGAGCCTGCCTGTCCCCTCACGTAGAGGAAACTTCTGTCGGGTGATTTCCCAATGTTTCCATCACTTGCATCACACACAGCAAAGCAAAAGACCCCCAAACCCAGCCCTGCTGCTCCCTCCTGACCCCACACGCAGACGAAGGGACACTTCCTGGGCCTGTGGGCCGTTGTCTGTGGGGTAAGTGAGGTGGCTGGGCTCGTGGTCATTTCTGAGAGCTTCCTGAACCGCACCCCCCCACACCTGAGTGGGGGAGGGGAGCTCCCTTGGGGTGCAGAGGTGCAGTGCTGTGTCCTGGAGCCCCCCTGGTCCCAGCCCTGTGGACTCTCGCTCAGCATCCAACCTGAAGATCCCCTCTTCATCCTAGAAAAAAAGTATAATTTCTCCATGACTTTCTTCATACTGTCTCCAGCTCAAATGTTCATCTCCCCGTTCCCTACATCACCCTACCACCTACACCTGTCACCACGTCTGTCCGTCATATGTCCATCTCCCTCCGAAGGCTCGGTCCAGTCCCCTCCCATGTCCACCCTGGGAATGAAAGGCCCCCAGAGCCTTGCGCCTGGGATCTGTCTGCTCTGCCTCCCACAGCAGGACGGCGAGTGGACACGCGTCCTCAGTGTGGTGCGGGGACGGAGCGAGGTGTGGGGAGTGGGGGTCCCCCGATGCCCAGACTGGTCACCGCGCAGTCTCGAGAACACGTTCTGTCCGGGGCGAGTTATTAGCTGGTCCTTATGGCAAGTGCTTCAGTGCAGGTCCAGGGCGTGGTGGGGACAGCGGGACCCCAGCACCCAGCATGCCCGGCGCCTGCCAGAGAAGGTGCAGCCCAGGCAGGTCTGGGATGAGGTGCAGTGTGGGGGGCAGACAGCAGGAGGGGGGTACCATGTGGGGGTGCAGACAGCCGCAGGAGGGTACCATGTGGGGGGCAGATAGCAGGAGGGGGTACCATGTGGGGGGCAGACAGCAGCAGGGGGTGTAGTGTGGGGGGCAGACAGCAGCAGGGGGTGCAGTGTGGGGGCAGACAGCAGCAGGGGGTGCAGTGTGGGGGCAGACAGCAGAAGGGGGTACAGTTGGGGGGCAGACAGCAGCAGGGGGTGCAGTGTGGAGGGCAGAAAGCAGCAGGGGGTGCAGTGTGGGGGCAGACAGCAGCAGGGGGTGCAGTGTGGGGGGCAGACAGCAGCACGGGGTGCAGTGTGGGGGCAGACAGCAGCAGGGGTACAGTGTGGGGGGCAGACAGCAGCAGGGGTGCAGTGTGGGGGGCAGACAGCAGCAGGGGTGCAGTGTGGGGGGCAGACAGCAGCACGGGGTGCAGTGTGGGAGGCAGACAGCAGCAGGGGTGCAGTGTGGGGGGCAGACAGCAGCACGGGGTACAGTGTGGGGGGCAGACAGCAGCAGGGGTGCAGTGTGGGGGGCAGACAGCAGCAGGGGGTGCAGTGTGGGGGGGCAGACAGCAGCAGGGGTGCAGTGTGGGGGGCAGACAGCAGCAGGGTGCAGTGTGGGGGGCAGACAGCAGCAGGGGTGCAGTGTGGGGGGCAGACAGCAGCAGGGGTGCAGTGTGGGGGGCAGACAGCAGCACGGGGTGCAGTGTGGGGGGCAGACAGCAGCACGGGGTGCAGTGTGGGAGGCAGACAGCAGCAGGGGTGCAGTGTGGGGGGCAGACAGCAGCACGGGGTACAGTGTGGGGGGCAGACAGCAGCAGGGGTGCAGTGTGGGGGGCAGACAGCAGCAGGGGGTGCAGTGTGGGGGGCAGACAGCAGCAGGGGTGCAGTGTGGGGGGCAGACAGCAGCAGGGTGCAGTGTGGGGTGAGACAGCAGCAGGGGGTGCAGTGTGGGGGGCAGACAGCAGCAGGGGTGCAGTGTGGGGGGCAGACAGCAGCAGGGGGTGCAGTGTGGGGGGCAGACAGCAGCAGGGGGTGCAGTGTGGGGGCAGACAGCAGCAGGGGGTGCAGTGTGGGGGGCAGACAGCAGCAGGGGGTGCAGTGTGGGGGGCAGACAGCAGCAGGGGGTGCAGTGTGGGGGCAGACAGCAGCAGGGGGTGCAGTGTGGGGGCAGACAGCAGCAGGGGTGCAGTGTGGGGGGCAGACAGCAGCACGGGGTGCAGTGTGGGGGGCAGACAGCAGCAGGGGTGCAGTGTGGGGGGCAGACAGCAGCAGGGTGCAGTGTGGGGTGAGACAGCAGCAGGGGTGCAGTGTGGGGGGCAGACAGCAGCAGGGGGTGCAGTGTGGGGGCAGACAGCAGCAGGGGGTGCAGTGTGGGGGGCAGACAGCAGCAGGGGGTGCAGTGTGGAGGGCGGACAGCAGGAGGGGGTGCAGTGTGGGGGTACAAACAGCCACAAGAAAAGCAGGGCGCTAGGAAGAGGGTGGTGTGTTCAGGGAGTGAGCAGAAGCTTCCTGCTGGAGGCTGGAGGGAGGCCCAGGTGTGGGGCAGAGGTGTTTGGGCCCATCACGCAGGCAGCCAGGCACCACCAGAGGGGCGCAGGCTGGGCTGGGGGTCAGCGGTCAGGAGGGAGCCCGAGAAAGATCGCCAGGCAACAGGCCTGGAGGCCAAAGACCAGTTAGGAGACCCGGATCCCAGCATCCCTCAGGCCAGGCACTGACCGCCGCCCAGACACCAGAGCAAGGGTCCGCCGCACCCTCCAAGGTCCACGGGGAGAAAACGAGTGAAGGTGACCTGACAGGACAAATGCCACGAGGAAGGGAAGCGCAGCGGGCAGGGGTGCAGAGGGGACGGCCGAGCAGCCAGGACAGCAGGGCTGGGCGGGGGTCCGCAGAGCTGCAGACAGAGGGTAGCAGAGGGTCTCAGAGGAGGTCTGGGACCAACGGAGGACCAGGAACACGAGCCCCCGCACAGCCCCGGCCTGCGGCTCTGCCACGTCCTCACTCCTTGGGGACACTGGAGCCCCTTCTGCCCCTCTTATCCCTCAGGACCCACCAGATGTCCTCTGCTCTGGCTTTCCCAGTGGCTCCCAGGCCTGGTGAGGGCCACACTAAAGAGCTACACCGGCCAGTGTGCGGCTGTGTCTCCCACCCAGCTGGGTGGGCTCACAGTGGCCCCTGCCCAGCACCACGCCCGGGACTCCGCTGGGTACCCTGCCATGTGACCGACCACTAGAATCCAGGAGCTGGGCGTCCTGGACCCTGGTGCCCAGAGCAGGGGTGGTGGGGCCAGGGGCCCCCCTATGGACCAGTGCCAAGCGGAGTTGCCAGGGCCCTCCCCAGGCTCCCCCTCAGCAGGCAGGCTGAGCTCACCGGCCTGTCCCCAATCCAGGCCTGCAGGCATCTGAGGCGGGGCCAGAGTGCCTGTGAGTTCAG